GGGGGGACAGGGACTCCCCCAGTGCCTGTTGATCCCCCCTGACTTGTTTATAGCAGGCCACAAGATCACCCCTCGGCCTTCTCTTCTGGAGGCTGAACAGGTTCAGGTCCCGTAACCTTTCCTCATAGGACCTGCCCTGCTGTCCCTTGATCATGCGAGTGGCCCTCCTCTGGACCCTCTTGATGCTGTCCACATCCCTCTTAAAGTGCGGCTCCCAGAACTGGACGCAGTACTCCAGCTGCGGCCTGACCAGTGCTGCATAGAGGGGGAGGATCACCTCCTTGGTCCTGCTTGAAATGCGTCTGTGAATGCACGACAAGGTACAGTTGGCTTTCCTAGCCGCCTCCCCACACTGCCGAGCCATGTTCATCTTGGAGTCAATAATGACTCCAAGATCCTTTTCCACCTCCGTGCTGACAAGAGGGGAGTTCCCCAGCCTGTAGGTATGGTGCCGGTTGTTCCTCCCCAGGTGCATCACCTTGCACTTGTCTGTGTTGAACCCCATCCTGTTCTCCTCCGCCCATCCTTGTAACCTGTCAAGGTCTGACTGTAGCCTGTTGCTCCCTTCTATTGCGCCCACATCCCCCCACATCTTGGTATCATCAGCAAATTTGAACAGGGTGCTTTGCACCCCCTCATCCAAATCACTGATGAAGATGTTGAACAGGGCGGGCCCGAGGACCGAGCCCTGCGGGACCCCACTGCCCATGTCCTTCCAGGCCGAGAAGGACCCATCCACTACCACCCTCTGGGTGCGGCTCTCTAGCCAGTTGGTGACCCATTGGACTGTGTGGGTGTCTACGCCACAGTCCCCCAGTTTCCTAATGAGAACGGGGTGAGAGACAGTGTCGAAAGCCTTTCGGAAGTCCAGGAAGACTATATCCACTGCTACCCCTGCATCCAATGATTTAGTGACCTGATCGTAGAAGGCCACCAGGTTGGTCTGACATGACCTGCCGCTGATGAACCCGTGCTGGTTGCCCCTGAGCATGCATTTCCCTGCTGGCCCCTCCTGGATGTGTGCCAGAATAATTTTCTCGAACAGCTTGCCCAGGATCGAGGTAAGACTGACTGGCCTATAGTTTCCCGGGTCCTCCTTCCTCCCCTTTTTGAAGATGGGAACCACGTTGGCCCTCTTCCAGTCCTCCAGCACCTCTCCAGAGCACCACGAGTGCTCATAAAGCTGCGCCAGGGGACTCGCAATGACCCCGGCCAGTTCCTTTAGAACTCTAGGGTGGAGATCGTCTGGACCGGCTGACTTAAAAACGTCCAGCCCCTCCAGCAGCTCCCTAACTAGATCCTCACTTACCCTCGGCTCAGGTTTGCCTCCCTCGGGGCCCAATGGGGGCCTAGCAGGGAGGTGGCAGTTCTGGTCCTTACTGAGGAAGACAGAGGCAAAGAAATCATTAAATATGTTGGCTTTGTCATCTGGTGTGACAACCAGATTCCCCGTCGCGTCCTGCAAGGGCCCCACATTACCCGGGGCCTTCTTTTTACTCCCTATGTATTTAAAAAAGGACTTCTTGTTGTCCTTAATCCGGGAAGCTAGTCCCAGTTCCATCTCTGCCTTGGCCTTCCTAACTACCCTCCTACACCCTCGAGCAACTGCCGGGGTGTATTTAAAAGAAGAAATAAATAAAATAAATTTTATTAGAAGAAATTTTATTAGAATTTTCTTAGAAGAAAGAAATAAAAGAAATACCGGGGGGGTATTTAAAAGAAGACACCACCTCAAGCAACACTTGAGGTGGTGTCTTCTTTTAAATACCTTGGAATCTATTTTAGCAAAAATCTGACCGGGAATAAGCACACTAAAAATGTAAACATTAGAGCAAAATAAGCCCTTGGGCACAGTTATACTCTTTTACAATAAGTTAGGCACAAGAGTGTTTCTGGCAGCACTAAAGGTCTATAGATCTAAGGCAGAGTCCATTTTATTGAATGGAGAAGAACTTTGGGGTGCTGACCCTATGGTCTACCCGAAAATGGAAAAGACATCTAATGACTTTTTAAGGTAACTTTTATCTCTGCCTAATTCAAATGATGGGGGGAGGAGGAGGGGCTCATGCACTCTGAAACCTGGTGGATAAACTTGAGCACCTTAACTCGCTTAAGAACCCTAAATTACTGGATGAAAAGTAGATCCTTTACATCTACCAGATACCTTAAGAAGGGTATTCTAGAAGCCTCTCCTCTGCCTAATAAAATCTGGGTTGAATGATAAAAGAACATCTATTTTCTCCTCCAGACAATTGGCCTGGGAAATGTACTGAGTCACTGACCTAATATTCCCCCTATACTTAAAACAAGCCATACATTTAAAAATTAAAGATGTCAGCATGCAGATGGATACGATGGCAATGAAACTGTCTTGAACTTCCCCTTTTGTAAGATTAAGAAGCGCTCCTTTGGCCTAGAAACCTACCAGACTGCAGTGCAAAACTACAAAAAATGAGAGGCCATGACTAGATTGAGATCCACTCTAATGAGATATGCAGTTGTCACGCAGGTGATGTCAGACCCTGCAGTCAGACAGAATATGTTCTTGTGGGAAGAATGAGTTAAATCACTGTGTGTGGCCTTGATGGTTCTTTGAACAAATAAGAGGAAAATGGAGGTTCCCATAAGCGAGAAATGTTAAATACTAGGCTAATGAAGAAAAAACAGTTTGGTTTCTTTCTAACACTCAGAGCCTGTCCTATACTCTCCAGGTGTATGTGCATTACTTGCACAAAGAATAAAGACCAACATCAAAAAGAAATCTCCCATTTTGTTTTACTGCTTCAGTTTACCTTTTCTTTTATAATTGTCATAGACTGTGTTTGATTTTAATTTTGTGTGAACTGGTAGAATTGATCATTTAAATGCATGTTTTCAACAATGACTGTCAATTATATAAATGTTATTATTAGAGGTGCACCAATAAAGATATTTTTTTGGCCGATACAGATGGCCAATTATTAACCAGCTATATCAGGTGATACTGAGCTGATAGCCGATATGCAGCCCAGTAGCTTGGAGAGCAGCATTCAGCTGGTAAGTCTTTGTGGGGGAAGAGGTGTGAGGGAGGGAAGAGGTGTGGGGGGGTAGATTGAGGCCCCCATGGTGGGGGAGGAAGTGGGGTAGGGACTGGGGCAGGTGCTCCCCAGCCAGGGCAGGACACAGGATGGAGCCATGGGTGGCTCATCTGAGGGACACAGGAGTGTGGGGAGAGGGTATGTGCCCCCCAGATTTGTGTGTGGAGTGAAGGCGGGCTGTCTTCCGTGAGCTGGGGCCGGAGGCTGCGCCGCCCTCTTCCCAGCAGGGGGGCTCAGCCAGGGCTGCACTCAGGGAAGGCTGGGGCGAGGCAGATGGCAGCAGCACTGGGAGAGGGGAGACTACGGAGTGGGGGGCTACACCCACCCCAAAATTTGCTGTAACCCCCCCGTAAACTCCCTTCCCAGCACTACTGCTGCCCGCCCTGACCGCAGCCCCAGTCCAGCCCCCCTGCCAGGAAGAGCCCGGTACAACCCCCAGCCCCCAGAAATCTAGGGGATAAACGCCCCCCATGCCTCCCCCAGGGATGTACACAGTGGCAGGAGCCACCCCCTTACCCCCTGGATGAGCCGCCCAAGGCTCTATCCCGGACCCCTGACCCTGCCCTGGCTCAGTAGCACCTGCCCCTGTCCCATCCCCACTCCCTCCCCCACCGAGTGGGCCTCGATCTTCCACCCCACGCCTCTTCCCATGTCCCTTTCACCCCCACAAACTCACCATCTGGATGTTGCTCTCCAAGTTCCTGGGTTGCATTTACCAGTGACATTATCAGCCACATTGGCCAAAAAAAGCCGATTACCAATAACGTCAATTTTCCTTTTGTCAGTGCCGATACGATATGGACAGATATATTGGTGCACTTCTAGTTATTATATGATATATACTTTTTATTGTTCATTTTATTGTATTATTTTGATTAAAGTTATAAATAAACCACTACTCCTACAAAGTAGTATATCAGAGAACCTCTGTGCTCATAACAGGAGAGGCTGAGTTCAGAACCGAAATTTCTCTGTTCATCCTAGCTGGATACCAAAGGATCACATCCCATGCCACTGAATATAGGTTTTACCCTTTACTAGAGGGTGCTTGACTGAGTCCATGGTCCTCAGGCTTTAACTGGCTTCCTTTAGCCTCCTCTACACATTCAGCTAATGACGCAACATGCACCTCTGGGGCTGGGAGATCACAACCATGCCCTGCAGGTGCCAGGCACTGCCAGAACCAGAAGTCCCCTCAGACACGGACTGCCAGCCCCAGCTGAGCATGATGCACACCTGTGGCTGGGAGTCTGTCAACTCACAGGGTTCCCAGACAGAGACCCCGCTACACATGCAAATTAACGCTGGATACCAAACAACTAAAAAGTTAGAACACATTTTTGAGGTCTAACTTTAGAGTTGGCTGGGCCCTTTTTTGGTGCGATAGCTATTTTGCATGTGTAGCTGGTCTCAGTTTAATTGTGCAGTTAACCAGTAACTAGCTGTAACATGTAGAGGGGACCTTATTAAGTATAACTATTCAGTCACACAAAACACAAAACAACATAAAGTGAACACCCACAAGCTACTTACGACTACCTACTATGTCAACATAGAACAGTACTTACTTGTATGGGATATGCTTGCTGCCATTGACAAGAGCCAGGATGACATTGCCCAGTGCTGACAATGAGAGGCAGAGTCCAGAGCCTCCCTCCCGATTTTTGCTGAGTGCTTTCACACAGCTACCTAGGTCAATGAGGTGTAAGCGGCTGCGACCTCCAGACACTGCCATAAACAAAGAAAGGAGAGAAAGACAGCAGTTAGCATTCTACCTTTGATGAGCTGCTCTAACAGCAGCTCCTGAAGAGAAACCTTCCAGAAAGCAAATGACATTGCTTATCATGACCTACCAGGAGCAAGCAGTCCAGAAAACACATCTAGTAATGTTAGCAATAACAAATGGTAGGGGACCTCTTAACTCATTTGCAGCATCCACTCATGGATATTGTTGTTCATTGCTGATCCATTTAAAAATTGCTGGTGTCAGCAATATGCTCACAGCTCCAGCAGGCCTAAATCAGTGGGAGTCACCACTGTGACCTTTTTTTTTTTTTTTATATGGCTCCGCTAGGCTGTACTTGAGTTGTCCTTCTCACTACTGACTCTTTGATCCCCCTTGTTAGAATCACACATGTCATTGGTAACTACAGTTCAAGAGTCTGCTTGGTGCACAGCAGTTCTTACATAGTATCCTTGACTTCACTATTTGCCCTTGAATACTTGATGTCCAGTGCCAAAAAAATCACTCTGTCAAAGTAATCATCTCTGTCCGATAATGTCCAGTTTTCTACTGGTTCTGAAGGAACATTTAGGAAGAATAATTAGCCTATTTAAAAACACATCAGAGTTACAGGCTATTGATGACCACATCTTTCAAAGATATTTTCATAACTGCAAACATAACATTAACATTACTGCTATTTGTATCCAAATCCCCTTGGAAGTTTCAGACCACAATTTATTTCTACTTCATACCTTTCTGTCTTTTGGGAGCACATGTTATTTGCAGCTGTACACTTGGTGGAACAGCTTATTGTCTTTAAAGGAAAAAGAGCTTCGAAAAATATGTACCAGGAAAACATACTGCATATAAAGAAACACATTTCCTGGACTTTTAAAGCAGAGATAAGAAGATGGTTGTGTAGGTGAAAAGAAAGAAGGAACAGAGACCAAACTGTGGTGCTATGAATGTTAATAACAGTCCCTCAAAATGGGAAAAGAAAGTCTACGAAAGCTGCAGTGGACATTTTCAATGCGTACTCTGTCTTGCTATTTTCCTATCAAATGTGTTAATTTTAAAAGTTACAGATGAGAGTTCTGTAGATCTGAACATTAAAGTCTACCTGAGGTTGGACTAGTTACTGAACTGTCACTGTCTACAGCGAAGTGAAATAATGACATTGGTATTTCAGAAGACAGTTAATAAGTGGACCCAAGAAGAGTTCCTGAATAAATACGGTATATGGGGGAAGTGTGGTATAAGTACCTAAAAAGAAGTGTGATCATTATACTTGGTTACTCAGTCTATAAGATCTGGAACAGTTTGCATGGCCAGTTTAAAAAACATGGTCACTGGAAGCAGATATATATGGAATCGGAGACTGAACTTGTGTATGATGTCGTTTGTAAATAAGGACCTATTTTGTACTAACTTATTTCATTATTGTCCTCCATGTTATTATTATTATTATTCCTTCAGATTGATTGTGCTTGATTTAAAAGCACAGGTGTCTAATTAGATTTATGGAAGATATAAAATAAAGAACCTGTGAGAGTGTCATACCTTTGTGACTGGATCCTTTTAAGAAAGAACAAAACTATTGGTGTGGAACTATCAGGAAGAACTCTATGGCTAAAAACAAAAGCAAAGACAAGGTTAAAAAGGGCTACACGTGGAGAAATGGATACTTGCCACATTGATAAGAAAAGATGATAAGATGATAGAAAGATTGAAACAATGACTTTATGCTGATGGTACTGAAGATATTTGCAAGATCAGTTTTCTAAATGATTGTTAAAAAGACATTTCCTTTTCCAGAACGATTTGTGTTTCCCTAAACATAAACTAGGAGGACTTACAGAAATGCATATAAAACACTGTGGATCTCAAGCAAACTTCCTAGCTGAAATAGAGACAATGCATCTGATTTTTGGGTAGTCGTAAATACTGTTCCCAGCTAGCTGTTTTGGAAGTCATCTGCAAGAAGTGATAGTTTTATATTTAGGATCAGAAATCTAGAATTAAGAGCACTGTTCACAGAAAGGAACTTAACCAAAAAAAAAAGAAATAGAGAATATCATATTTGTGTTTGAGTTTCTGAAAAGGAAAATGCTAAAATTTGACAGAGTATCTCCATCTGTGTACCCTGCGCAGAGATAATGGAAAAGGCCAGTCCATAGACAAGGGGGGTGGCCAGTTTCACTGCATCAGGTGGCCATGAGAAAGCTGAAGAGTACCATATTTTTTTTTTTGTTTAAGGAAATTCTGTTAACAGAGCTTGGTTTCTTTAACAACCTGAAGTTCAGGAGCTGTGGTCTAAGGACATGCAGCATGTGCCTACACAAGACACTTTATTGTGCAGTAGCGTAGTTCTCTACACAGTAAGTGTGTGCGTCTACACATGCAAATGCTTAGTGCACAGTAAACCTTGCTAGTCATGAGTAAATCTGATACCTGCAAATGCAAGCAGCAAATTTACTTGCGATTACTAACTGCACAGTAGCACTTGTGTAGACACCTGACCAAGACCAAATCTGCTCCCAGTCAGCTGGCTACCAGGGGGTAGGAGATTGCTCACTGCCCTGGGAACTGCCTGCTGCAGGGGCAGGCTCCACCACAGGAGCCCAGGCAAGGACTATAACCCCCTGCCCTGGCAGCAAGGAGCTTCAAGCCCCCCATTCCAAGATCACAATGGGGGAGTGGGGGCTGGGGGATCCTTATCTCTCAGCAGCAGCTCCACAGTCTCAGGGCCAGCGCTATGAGATCCTCATCTTCCAGTGCCAGCTACGTGACCGCAGGGCTGGTGCTGGGAGATAAGGATCTTCCAGCGTTAGTCTTGCAGTTGTGGAGCTGGCGCTAAAAGCTCCCTACTGGCGAGGGCTGGGGAACCTGGTTCCTGCCCAGGTCTGTGCTCATGGAGCCGGGGGAGGAACAGGGTGGGAAACCTATTCTTCGCTCAGCTCTGCAATCACAGAGCTCAGCAAGGAATAGGCTCTCCAGACTGTTTTACACCCAGCTCTGCGGTCACAGAGCTGAGCGGGAAACAGGCTCTCCAGCCCCCATCCCGTGATTGTAGAGAGGGGGCTGGGAACTGTTCTGGTTAGGGGCAGGTCTCAGCTCCATGCCCCGATCAGGTGATTGAGGCACAGGGCTTGGAAAGAGCTGCAGGGGTCCTAGCCCCCTGCCCCTCCTTTACAACTCTTTCTAAGTCCCCTGCTCCTGATCAGGACCAGGGCCAGGAGCTCCCTGCTGTCGGGGTAGGGGATATTGTCTCTGCCCCTACAGCAGGCAGTTTCCAGGAGCAGGATGCAATGTCCCAGCCCTGGCCAGGAGAGAGCTGTCTCCTGGCCTAGTGCTCTCTGCCAGTCCCTGGGGTAGCACCCAGGAACCAGGGGCTGGCCTAGCACCCAGGACCCTAGAGCTCTCCCTGGTGGTGGCAGGGGTACATTGCAGGGACTCAGAAAGTGGGAGCAGTTTGCTGCCATTAGCAGCAAATCTGCTTCTACGTCACTGCACATGTAGATGCCAGCCCAGAAGTGTTTACTCAGGAGTAATTTACAAACAAGTAAACTGCTTCTGCATCAAATGCATGTGTAGGCACACCCGCATTATAGGTTTGGCATGTAACTATGATGGGGAAAGTCAACAGAAGGAGATTGTTTTCACTAACACAGAAGTCTCCTTGTAAAATCTCTTCATATTGATAAGAAGGAGACATGATTTATACCATTTCTCAGAACTGTTTGTAGTGGAGGAGTCCAATCTGCTATGTGTGAATGAAGTTAACATAACATACATTTGAGGGTGAAAACAGAAACAGGTACTAAAGAGAGGTACAATATACATACTCATTGTAAATTAGGAGATACTAATATAGTATTAAAATATATATATAAAAACAAAGGGAGGTAAACATTTTGTTATCTCTTTAGGTTACTGAAAAGCACAGGAATATCTGGTAGGTGTTACCATTCCTTCTTGTAATGGGCAGAACTTTTCCTAATGGCATAATGCTTGTATGCTGCATGGTGCAGCTGGTACGCTACCTCTAATTGCATGGTGTAAACTATACCACATTAGAGCCACATGATAGATCCACTGGTGAAATTATAAGAAGAATATTCATTTTTAATACAGATAAGAGTTAAGCAAAAAGCAGAAAAAAGAAACTCCATGTAGATTTAAATACTACAGCTACATTTCAAAGGGATCATCCCCTTTTTCAAGGATCTAAGAGAAGAAAAGAAAAGTAGTATGAAAACAGGGAATGATTGCTGCTGTGGATTAGTAAATGGGGAGCACCAAATGTATAAGTTCCTACAACTAATGGAAGCATGAGGATTCATCGGCACCAAGAATCTCTGGTTGGAAGTGTTTTCCAAATGTGTATTGGATATGTTCAGAAGAGAAAAGAAAAGAAATGAAAAGAAGTCACCAGTGGATATTATAATGGGATATAAAAGCAATGATACTTAAAAGACTGAATGTTGGGATGTCGGTTGAATTACACTGAATATCACCCACAAAAAAAGGGAAAATATAAAGCCTGATTAGAAATTGAATTTTGGAGTCCAGATTTGGACAAAGGGTTTTAAATGAGCTGTTCTAAACCCTGCAGGAGTCACCAAATAACACCACAACACACTGCATGTCAACCCTAGAAGTCAGCTACATTGAGCTTTTGTGAAGCCTGCACATTGATTTTGCCATGAAAAGTAAGGAAAAGTATTTGACTGCTGCTGTTGATTATTCTACATGACTGACACTAGTATATATAAAAAATGTCTGCTGCTAAGATTACTAGGCATTGGGAATGTATTTGCTCTATTTGGTTAGCCTGATAAGATAGTTTCAGGTAACAGGCCGAGATTGTTTCCGATTTTCCCCAAGAGAAAATATGATAAACATAAAGATGAGTTACTCACCAGCCTGCATCAAGTGAACTAGTACAATATTTTGTGCAGACACCTCAAGCACAATACAGAAAAATGTTGGTACATCCCTG